GGCGATCCCCGTGACCCCGGGTCTTGGCACCCCGCCCGGCCCCCGGCCCCGGCAGCCTCCCGCCGACCGCCATGGCTGTGCTGGACCTCGCCATGCAGGGAGTCGCCGTGTTCGGCTTCATCCTGTTCTTTGTGCTGTGGCTCATGCATTTCATGTCCATCATTTACGTGTAAGTGAACCGCTAAGCTAATGACGGCTAGCTAACGGTTAGCAGGGCGACGCGTGTGGTTCCTGCTTTGGTTTCTGTGTTTTGACACAACAGATGGGTCACTCACGGATGGAAGATAAAATAAAATAAGTTCAGCCTCTCGCCGGGTTTCTGGGTGTGTGACAGCCGAGAAACCCCCGTACCTGTTCGACTGACAGTTGGGCGGTTTCCTGGTTAACTGCTAGCCGGTTAGCTCGATTATGTTACCAGATGGGAAGGCTTATTTCAGAGTTTATCACTACAGGTCATGGTTACAACTCGGTTAGTTAGTGTTGTGTACATATCCTGTTTTCTCTGCTGAAGCCAAATTAACCACATTTTAAAACCTGGCGATTATGTTTTGGTCGCGTCCGTTGGCGTCGCACGGTAGAAAATAAAAGGTTTTCTACTGTTGTTGGTCCTTCTTAAACTCAGCATAGTCCGTTCACACAACAGCATTTAATCCCTTAATCTGGTTCCTGGCAAAGATCAAATTTAAGAATGTTAAACATTTAAAAAAGAGGCAACTGTAGATGTGTTAACTGGACAATTTCATAAATGCTGTTATTTTATGTAGTGAATAGTTTTATTTGTGTCCACATTAAAGAGCGTGACACTGAGAGGTAAGGGTGTTTGGCGCTGACGTATACTGGGCAATTTAAGACTTTCCAGTATCTGTTTCCCAATTATTTCCTTAGGTGTGTCAACAAAAGAACTTATACGGGGGTTGAAACTTTGTAAAATCAGATTTCAACATATTGGGGCTGTTTCAGAGAATCACACCCAACAGACAGAAAGACAAGGAACTAGATTCAGTTGTGTCAACTGCTTTGAAGCAGATGTGACCTGGAATTTCCTTGAAAACCTTTGAAAGGTGATTGAATTTGGGGATCAGAGTAATCAGATTTCAGCTCTCAAAGTCTGTCTGGTGACCACAGGTGAGAGTAGGAACGTCGATCGACCACTAAATCGAGAGCTTCACCTTACAGCTCAGCTCCTTCTTCATCATGACGGTCCGGTACATCAACCGCATTACTGCAGAAGTATCTGTGCAGATTCTCAGTCATCCAGGTCATAGTAAACCGCAACCGAAATAACCCTGGAAATCAACTGGACTTGGATTTCTAGATCGAAGACGTTTCACCTCTCATCCAAGAGGCTTCATCAGTTCTGACTGACTGGTGTTGAGTCGGAGATATTTATCCCCCTCGGTGGTGTTTCAGTCCTTAGAAGGCCAACACTGCCCATTAACGACTGAGTC